CCCCACCCCTACTAAACACCAAGAGACCTGGAGACCCCAGATCTAACATATTCATATTGTTCTCTTTCTTGTTTTCATTAAAAAGACCACCTGGTGCTTCAAAGTAAAGTTAACAAAACAAGGAGAACATAAAATTAATATCAACCAATAGCTTATAAAAGCTACTGGTTGATATAGCTTTGAATGTGGGCCAGCAGATACATCCTCAAAACGTGAACTCCAAATGGTCTTGGATGGGTTTTTTTAGATAAACTAAAAGAAATGTATATAATATATAATGTAATGTATATATAATTATATATAATGTAAATGCAGTCTGTGAAGTTTGGAGAAAAACTCTTACAGCAGTACATTTACCAGGTGCAGAATTGAAAACACGCACCTGCAGCAGTGAGCGGTGAGCCAGCAGTTCCCCAGCCAGAGTCTTGTGCTGTTGCAGTAACCTCAGCACACTGCTCAGGTCCTTCCCGTAGCCCTGAGCTCCCAGGATAGAGCTTTTCTCTCTGATCCAGGCCTCCGACTCTTCCAGCTCCTAATAGGACAAAAGACAAGTTTTAAAGCAGGACAATATTTGTAATGGAAAACTGAACAGGTTTAATGATTGGGTGGCCTGAATCCAGGGTGGGGTCTTTCTCTGTGGAGTTTGCATGCTGTCGCCATGTCTGTGTGAGGACTCCTGGTTGCTCCCATAGACATGCATGGGGCATAAAAAAACGTTCAAAGCTTTCTGAAGCATCCAAGCTCCTCAGATACTGGCTCCTAGGAAAAATCCCGGCATGTTAATCCCGCCATTTTCCCCACAACCTGCTGACCCATCTCACCTGAAAGAAGGCCCACAGTTTCCTTGACTCCTCGAGCTCAGCACGTCTTTTAGTTGCCAGGTGTTTCAGCTCCTCCAGACAGGAAGAGACATGGTTGACACGGTTACAGATCACCTGTGGGTCACATGGTTGGTAACCTGTAAAAATGAGACACAGCATTAAATTTATTAGAACCGTGAGCCAGACACAGGATATCAACCTACTCACACCAAGCCTTAAATACCAATTTTCCAATCATTGCTAAAGACAAATAAAATAAAACTCTTTCACTGCAACACAATGTGTGTGTACATGTGTGTACCCTCTATTGTGGTGAACTTGAGTGCAGCAGTGTTGAGCGTCTCGACTCTCTCAGCCTGCACAGTAATATCGGCCTCCTGCAGGCCGTGCTTCTGCAGCAGGTCGCCCACCTCCAGTAGATGTTTCCCAAAGTCCCTCGAGAGCAGCTGGACCTGAAAGGAATGAAGCAACGGGAGGGCAAGAGAAATTAATGGAAGAAGAAATGATGAAACCAGAGGTTTCAATTAGAGATGGCACGATACCACTTTTTTATGTCCGATACCGATACCGATA